GGCTATGGCACTCCCTTGATCCCAGTTAGCTGTCCTGTGTTCCTAGCGTTTGAGTTCCCCTGGACACAGAATTGGTGGTGAGCTTCGGGCATAGGATCTTATTGAAGATGAGAACCGTTATTTTTATTATGTCAGCGCCTCATAAAGTAACATTCAGTCAGACCCAGGCACCTAATATTTCTTAATGATAATGATGAGGTAATGAGTCTTGATGGTTAATTGCTATCATTCCTTGCTGAGACCCATTTTCAGAAGTGCTTTGTGGATCCTAGACTTTCACTTGCCTTCGTGTTTAAGTAAACCTGGGGCTCGTGATGGAAAAGTGCTGTTTAATGTCCTAAATTAATGTGATAGGTTGGTTTGTAAGGGTCCCCATACTTACTCCTTCAGGCTAGATTAAATCAAGTCTGCCTGATTCCAGTACTTGTAAACCACAAAGCATGTAGATGCAGCTGTGAGCTGTCCCTTGGAAGTGGATGACAGTGCAGTTGACCTTCCATATCTGCGGGTTCTGCATCTCTGCATTCAGCTAACCTCGGACCAAAAATGTACAGGGAAACGATTTTATGTGGTTGCTGATGTGAACAGTGTGGACAGGCCTACGATGGTGCGTCTGTACTGAACATGTACAGACTTTTTCTTGTCATTATTTCCTAAACAATACAATGCAACAGCTGTTTATATGGCATTTACATTGTATTAGGTATTGAAAGTAATCTAGAGATTATTTCAAGTATTTGGGAGGATGGCGTGGGTGACATGCAAATGTTGTGCCATTTTATGTAAGGGCCTTGAGCATCCGCCTGGTTGGTATCTGCAGCAAGTCCTGGAACCAATCTTCCGCGGATACTGAGGGATGACTATATTTTTAAAAAGAAACTTGAAACAATTTTTCCCTTTTTAGTTCACAGTGACCTCATTTAAATAATGCAGCCAGTGTGTGAGGGGAGAAGAAAATGGGTGCTGGAGAGATGGAACAGAATATTAATTGGTGGTTATAGCCAGCCAGGGGTGGGACCCACATTTAGAACTGAAACTGTGATTAGGGACGCCACACCTCTTAGCCACTTCTGTTCATTTGACTTCTGTGGGGAGCTTGGTGGCTGCATGCTTCCCCTGTTCACGCAGAGCTGTCCATTTCCAGCAGAACTAGCTCCCGGGAGGTGGGAGTGGAGGAACAAGAACTGCCCTCCGGCACCAAAAATGTGTATTCTTATAAATGACATACGCAGCTCTGGGGTTTGCACTGGTCTTTGGGGGCCTCTCTTTCAGAGACTGTCTTCTAGGAGTTTCTGGGAAAATGAGATTTCTGAGTGAGTAATATCCTGGCTCCTCAGGCAGAGCCGTTAAGGCAGCAAGGAGGAAGGCGATGGAGGTCCGAGATGAATGCAGCCCTCCTGGTCAGACACATTTATGGGCGTAACTTTGAGTCTTCGGATTTTCCACAACTAGCAGAAGCCTGGACTTTAAAACCTGTTGTGCTTTGCTGGGCCTCCTTGTGTCTCATTTCCTCAGCGTGGAAGCTTGAGGTGACTGCCATTTGCGCCTATGTCAAGAAAGCCCAGGGCTTACCTTTATCACCCCTACATCTCCTCCTACCCCCCACAATCGTGGCTTTTAACAAAGCTGATTGGACACGCATCAGGGTGCCCTCTTGACCCCACACCCCAGTGTACTGTGAGCACTGGCCGCCCCAGCTCCAGCCTCTCCCCAAATGAACCCGAGAAGCGTCCTACAGGAGCCTTGACAGAACCCGGAAGGGAGAGGGGTCATTGCCCCCTCCCCCTTCCACCTGTTAGAATTAGCTGTTGAAACTGCTGAACTTGCTCTGAGAGAGCAGAATTAGAAATGGGGAAAGAGCTGCACAAAGGGAGTGGGCTGGTCAAGGACTGAGAGAAACCAACACACTTGTCCACAAAGGTTCGGATGAAGGAAGAAAGGGAAACAGGATCGGACCTGGGTGGGGTGCAGCACTCGATGACGGCCTCACAGGTTGCTGCGGCGTTAGCTTCACCATGCCACCAGGGCTGTTAGAGAATTCAGTGGGATTCTAACGTTGTGATGAACTGAAACTGTCTTTTGTGATTGGTAATTATTGTTCTGCATTCTGTTCTTGGTCCTCGTTTCTGGCTCTCTTGACCAGGCCTGAGCAGATAATGAATGAATGCGCCTGGTCTTCTCGTTCCCTCGCAGCTCATCTCCTACTATCAGTGCTGAAGGCTGCCCCTTAAGTTCCTCGGCGAGCCCCAGGTCACACCACGGCTTTGTGTGCCTGTGGTCACTTTGCACCCCTCTTCCGAGCCTTCCTTACCCCATTTGTGCACAGTGCTTTGGTGAGCTGACCTTTCCCCAGGGCCTGCACACATCTGAGCAGTGTGTATAGGTGAAGCCCCCGTGTCTGCCCACCCAGTAGGGTCCTTCTCTGCTTTTTGAAGAAGTTAAGAAACCAGCCCCGAGAAGTGGGAAGAACTCTGACTGGTGGGGGTGAGACAGAGTTAGGGTGTAATCCTAAGTTTGCCTCTTGCTAGCCTTTCCAGCCCTCTCTGAGCCTCCCCTTATCTGTAACATGGAGTATTGCCTACCACATGGAACCTTGAGGAGTATGCAAGTATCTAGAACAGTGCCTGCCACCTGAGTAGGCATTCAGTAGGTATCAGTCTCTTCCTTGCTATTACCTGAAAACTTCCTTAACTCAGCAGACCCAAAACAGGACCTCATAGACACTACAGCCAGTTTACCTGTCACTTGTCCCCATTCGTGGCACATCATCCTTGTTGTACAGGAACATGATCCTCTCTTCCATCAAGAAATTCTGTGCTTTGTGAGTTGTTTTTCCAGGAGTTGGATTTGTGCCTTAGCTGACCCTGGGATAGCTGACGTAGGTTGTTGAGGTAGCAAGCCAGCCAGGGTTTTATACAGATAATGTGTGGCTGTGGGTCAGAAACGAACTGGCCTGTGTGGGATCAAATCCATGATTCAGCCCACACACTGCGTTTGATGACAGCACCACTTGCTTCAGAGCACTTTCACTCTCATTTGGTTCTTGCGAGGGTTCTGGGAGGTTGGCAGAAGAAGAAGAAAATGAGACCCCAAAACAGTCACCAGTAGTAATTGGTGGAACCCAGGACAATGCCTTGATTTTCTGTGAAGCTTTGAACCCATCTGAGAGCTACAGTTCTGGCTGTTCAAATGAAAGTATAGAGCCCTACCACAGTATCCTCTAGTTTTCCTGTCACTGGTACACTTTGTATCCATCTCTTGTAGAATATTCATTAATTCGTTGAATGAATTATGTGCTGGGTGCTGTAGGCACTGGAGATAACTATCAGAAGTGAAAGAAATAGACAAAACCCCTGCCATGCCGGGACGGAGCTTTGCCTAACAGTAGGAGGCTGAGAGTAACAAGAAAGATGTGCTGTTAGTGTAGAGAATGTCAGCAGTGGAGAGAACTAAGGCAGAAAGGAAGCTGGGCTGGGGTGGGGCGGACACTGCGTTTTCTCTTTGATTCTTTGTACTTATTGTCTCATCCAGGTGATAAGCCCTCTGAGAGAGAGCAAGGCTGTGTGTCATTCCACGCTGGCTCCTCATGCCTGCATCTCAGGGCTTTGGAGACTGACTTTGGAGTTGAACCAGCCTTACCCAGTAGAAGCAGATGCAGGGGCTGTCTGCTTACCCACTGAGACGCCTGGGACCTCCCCAGATCAGAGCTAGGGTAGCCTGGAGGTGCCCTGGGAGCTTGGGGAGGGAGCCTGTGCTGGTTTTTCTTAGAGATCATTTGTTAAACTTAGAGCACCCCCTGCTGTTAGAAGATGGGGTGGGCTCTCAACTGATCTTTTAAAATGATAGTTTCTTTTTTATGCTAAGATTTAAATTTTTTAATTTTATCTTTAAGTACTACTGAGGCATTTGGAACTTTCTTCTGAGACTGCCGTTGCTGAGGCCCAGCCCGCCCAGGGTTGGGATGGAGGGAGGAAGTACAAAGGCCTAGGCAGGATAGGGTCCTATCTGTGCTCTTGCTACTTTTAGCATCTCCTTACCCATGCGCTCCTACCACAGTCAGCAGCCCAGCAAAAGTTATCTCCTCGTATAGTTTCACAGCTGTTCTGAAATTCTAGGGCAGCAGAAGTGAAACTGACCACTGTCTTGTACATTTCTCTCTTAATGCTGTTGTTCCTTACTTGAAGTGAGTCAGGCCTTTCGCCCTCTTCTCCTCAGGATGTCTGAACTCATCATTTGTCCCTGTAGTCGAGTTTTTGACACAAAATTCTCTTAACGATGCCACATTTGTAGAGGGCCCTGTTTTGGTCTCCCAACCCACAGCTGAGTTGAGAGCTGTGGTCCCAGTGGTGGTGACCTCAGAATCAAGCTGAGCTCTTGACAGGGGCTGCAGTGAGCTCTTCTTGTCAGCCGCTGGGTGTGTGTGTGCACCAGGGTCAAACATACACTCACCATGAAGTTCCTTTAGTCCTCAGAGATGAAATTCAAGTTAATTTTAGCAGCACTATTTTTATATCAGCTAACTGAAGAGGGAAATGGCACCCAACTAGACAGGTCTTTTTTGTTTACCTGCCCCATTCAGTTTGGTCACTTCGTGATTTCTCACGAGGTTAAAGAAGTTAGGTGGCCCGGACATGCCACTCGGCTCCCCCTGTGTCCCATGTCTCCCTGAGAGTAAGGCGATGGTTGACCGATCAACGAGGATCATGTAGCTAACAGTCCAGTTAGTGGGTCCAGGGTATTTTTTAGGGTTACATTCTGTGGGTTCGCTTTATAGAACCCAAGCTTAGGGCGGTGACTACTGCGTTAGGAACAAAGGAACCCAAATTGTTCTAATGGGGTAGCTGAACCGGAAAGATGCATACTCAGGTGCCATTTTCTTCTTCATTGCAGCTGATATTAATAGTACTACTACAATTAAGATGCCTTCTCCATAGTAAATTGTAGCAGAAAACATTAGCTTCACTAATAAAGTAATTCTTTTATGATTCTTCTCCCAACAGCTTTGAAAAGTCCAGCTGCGTTTCATGAGCAGAGGAGGAGCTTGGAGCGGGCCAGGGTAAGGCGCTGCACTCTTCTCACGGACCTCCAGAGCCCCTTGCACTGCTGCTAATATTCCTTCCAGTCTAGCGTGCCTCCAGGGCCAGCCCTTGCCTCACAGTTCTAGATAGAAAGCTCTGTCTTTTCCACGGCATCCCTACCCCAGCCATCTCCCATCGTGATGATACGGAACATGATCCGAATGAGTTTTCTCCTTACTCCATTTAAGGGTATGTAGCGATCACTGATCCCCCTCCCGTTGCTTTGGACACCACTATTTTCCCGTCTTTAATTCCACTTAACCTCTTGTGATTGTTCGGACATGAACACCAGCCATGGAAAAGCCTGCTGAGTGCTGGGCCCTCCAGGTCGGTGGCTGCACTGCCCACACCTCCCCAGAACGGGTGTCTTGGGGGGCCAGAAATCCCACTTGTCTCCATGTGCCCTGAGCAACCAGTGTCCACCTGAGGCTGTGGAGGCAGGAGCCGGGCCCCCCCTTTGAGCCCAGGTTCATGGGGAGCACCTGGCTTGCCGCCTGTCCGCCATCAGTTTCAGTTCCCTCAGGGCCCTCAGGGGGATCGAGCCTGTTGCCCATTGTGGGCAGAGATGGGGAAGTCGCCCAAACACGCTTCCCCTCCACCCCCTTCACTTTGTCTCTCACGCAAAAGACAAGGAAGAGAACCTCGTAAGGGGAGGAGCATGGGCCATGGTGCCCTAAGATCCACAGTGCTTTCCGAGACCAAAATACAGTAAAACCCTTGGATTGCAAGTGCCTTGGTTTGCGAGTGTTCCACAAGACGAGCACATATTTCTAATACATTTTAATGTGGTAAATGAGTGATGTCTTGCAATATGAGTAGTTTGTTTTCCGGAACAAATTATGCTCACAAACCAAGGTATTAGTGTATTTACCTCCAACACTTTCCTTACTGTCTTCTCTTTTTATTTTTTGAAGTTTTGTAGGATAGTCGTGATTGATCTTAGAGTGAAGGGGAAGAACGAGGTCCTGGGCCCTGGGGAACACAGCGCACTGTGCCCCTGGCAGCGCTGGAGAATACAGCGGGGAGGCGCGGGGCGGCCTTGCCTGCGCCCCTGCCCGTTTGTCAGGCCTGGCGCCATTTCCTGGACGCTTCTCAAGCAGGCAGGGAGCAAATATGAACCAATTAGAAGAGCTGCTATTTTATTGAGCACTTTTACATGTGAAATTATATCATTTTCTTGTTTATATTCAAACCGGCTCTTAGGAATTAGATGTTATCTTCATTTTATGGCTGCACCTAAGAGAGATTAGCTAACTTGTCCAGCTAGTAAGTGGCACACTTGGGACGCAGACCTTGGCCTGTGGACGCTAGGTGCTTTCTTAGTCAACACTGTATTCTGCCTTGGCCTTGGCTGTTGCCCAGAGTTTCAGGTGGCTTAGAAAATACGTCTCCCTGGGATGTCTGTGAAGACCCGCAGTGCCCAATGCCTGTTCTACCGTCTCCTGCAGTAGCCCAGGCAACTCTCCTGCCCACTGCAGGTGGGGTGATAGGCCCAGAGTGCATGGCCACTTTAAGCCATCTTCTGGGGGGCTCAGAGCCACCCCAGGGCTAGGCCAGGGCAGGGCAGGACCCGGCCTTTACTTTCTACAGGCAGTGTGCTCCGATATTTTATTTTCTCTTTCTACTGTGCCCTGCCCCCCCGCTTCTTGTCCTGTGCTGCTCTTGAACCACTAATGGTTTTGACCTGTGGTTTGAATAATTCTGATGCACAGGTTAAGAGCACAGGCTCTGGGGTCAGACAGGTTGGGGGTCACATACATTATAACATGAGCGCCAGGCAGTGGGGCTGGTTGCGGGACTGTTGAAATGGTTTAGTTTGCCTGGAGTCTCAGAAATGCGGAAATGAGGACATTGGACTTTAAGGAACTAGAGCTATGACACCATATATCAAAATTAGTGTTCTATTTGGCAGTCATTCAAAATGAATGGAAAAGTGCTCATGAGATCATGCAGAGTTTTTGAAACAAGATATAAAGTTGTATTCAGTGTGATTACAGTTTTGCAAAATTAAACTTGTCTTCTGCATGGAAGAATGATTAGAAACAAATATCCCAAAATACTAATAGTGGATGATTAAAATTTTTTATTGTTTTACTTTGTAATTTTCCACTTTTTCTTTGATGAACATACATTACTTTTATGACAGTAAAAGTAATAGATTTTTAAAAAATAGTAGTCCATCCTCAGAATGACAGATGGTCTTGACAGTGGGTGGTGCCCTTGGCAGGTGCAGCTGGAGGTGCCCTCCCTAGGCCTCGCCTCAGAACCCAGTAGTCTCCAGGCTGAGATCATGGGGGCTGCCGAGGTGACCAACAACCACAGCCACTTTTCGGTCCTGGATGTGCCATAAGCTTGTGACTGGATTTGAGAGCTTGTTGGTGTGTTTTATTCTACAGACGGAGGACTATCTGAAACGGAAGATTCGCTCCCGGCCGGAGAGATCGGAGCTGGTTAGGATGCATATTTTGGAAGGTGTGTTAGACGGGAAACGCTGCTTCATCTAAGCCCTTGTTCTCACTGTGTGTTCACCACGTCACCACCCACATCTCTTCCCTCTTTCTTATCACTCCCATTTCTGTCGGCAGTGGGTAAGCCAGAGCCTTAACACAGTAAAACAGCAGCGCTGTGGTCGCCACCACTCGTTTTTGGGAATTCCCAAAGAAGCACAGTCACATTCTGTTGGTTTAGCGGACCTTTCTCCCCTGTGGCCATGCGGTGGCCCTGGCTCTCATCATCCCTCACTCTAAAATCCTTTCCTTCAAAATCTGTTTTAAAAATGCATTTGCTTTCCCAGTCATTCATTCATCCATTCATTCATTCACTCACTTAGCATTTACTAGAGCACTTTGATGTACAGGTTAGATCACCCTAGACATACTCTGCCTGGCCCAGGGCACACTCCTTCCCACATTCTGATAAAGGAAAGATTTTGGCTGCCAAAAACAGTGTGAATCTATCCATTTTTTATTTTGTTTTGAACCCTCTTTGGGGTTAGAAGACAACTTTGCTGGCCTCAGTCCCACGTTTTGCAGAGAAAGACACTGAGGCCCAGAGCAGGGAGGAGAATTGCCCTAACACAGCAAGCTTGAGAGAGAGCAGAGACCACTCCAACATGTGGTCTCCTTTCACTCTGTAGCTCCACCTCCGGGAGTCCTCTGGGCTGGCCTGGGCATGGTGGCCATTGTGTGTGACCACACACGGCCCGCAGTGGGGGCCCTCCTTCTGTCCTTGTGAAACTTTCAGCTGGACCACCCTTCTCTGCCTGGGATGCGCTTTGCATTCTGATGGTCTGCTGCTTCCCCGGAGGGAAGGAGAGCTGCTCTGGAGCCCCCAGGGCAGAGCCAGGGCCATTCCTACATTCTCCTGCACTCTGTTCTCTCCCGTGGGCAGAGACCTCGGCTGAGCCTTCCCTCCAGGCCAAGCAGTTGAAGCTGAAGAGAGCCAGACTGGCCGATGACCTCAACGAGAAGATTGCACAGAGGCCTGGCCCCATGGAGCTGGTGGAGAAGAACATCCTGCCTGTGGAGTCCAGCTTGAAAGAAGCCATCATAGGTGAGGAGGCCCTAACCACCAGGTGGCCCACAGGCCAGACGCAGGGGAGGCCTTCCGGCTTCCTGCTCTTTGACTTCCTGCCGAGACCTGGGGCCTGAGACGCAGGAAGCAGGAGCCTGATAAACAGGTTATATTGGCGTGGGACAGTGCCACGGCCGCAGGGATCCACACCATGCCAAAATAACTAACTAAATAGCAGTGAGACATCTGTCCACCTTCATGTCTGTAACTCGGGCTTATTCTTCTCTCACAGGGTAGGTAGATGTGAGGACCGATGTGTATGAACGTGCGGATATGCCAGAAGTTAGAAATCTGTAACTTACTGTTGCTTTCTGTTAGTGAAATCTCTTCTTGGAACCTGGCACTTTCCACAGATATTTCACTCTGCAAATATTGATTGATCCAAGCAGTGTGCTAGGCGTTAGGACCACAGCCCCACAAGGCAGACCAGGTCCCTGTCTTTACAGAGCTCATGTCTGGGAGCGGATACAGGCAGGTAAATTGGGGGTACACACAGAGAGACCCCCCCAACCTGGCCCTGACAGGGGGTGCAGTGTCAGAGGAGGCGACGGTGAAGGCTGGGGCTACAGGATGAGTAGGAATTAAAGTGTGTGCAGGGAAGAGAGCCGTGTGGATGAGAGCTGCAAGAAGGGTGTGAAGGTGGGCGGCGGGCGGTGGGCCAAGTCCAGGACGGGCAGGCCTGTGTGCCACCTTCAGGTATTGGGGACACGGTCCCCCTAGATTTTGGTAATCTAGGTACTGACGTGTCTCCTTTGCTGCCGTGGGCCCATGACCTGGACCCGGGCAGGGCCGTGCATTCTTGCTATCAGGAGGTAGCTGAGCCTTCAGGGTGAGAAGGCTCACGTGCTCCTACCATAGCTAGTTAGCTCTTTGGGCAGGATTCAAGGGAATCTTTGAGCCCCAGCATGGCAGTTTGGGCCCTGAGCCCTGCGTCAGAGGAGACTGTGGTTTCTAGGGCTTCATCTGCACTGTAGGAGGTGGTGTGACAGTGCAGGAAGCAGCCACCATGCCAGAGGCTGGCACACCTGGGGCCCCTAACAGCTCTTTTAATTGACCGCTTTGCCCTGCCCTCCATCCCGCCTCATCTCAGGGTTTTCCTACCCAGATCTTCACCACGTTCCACAACAGCCTGTAGTTCCAGGCCAGTGTTTGGGCCCAGGTCAGTTCTGGCCTCTCCAGCCAGCCAAAATCTGATAAATGTTTGCTGAGAGTTGGCAATGTGCCAGGCCCCTTGTGACGTCCTGCAGTTACAGAGATGAACAAACTGTGATGCTGCCCTCAAAGAATTTAGTCTGACAGGTAAAGACTGATGTATAAACAGTGATTTTTGAGCCTGGCTCCCGAGAAGATGCCAGCCTTGTGTAGCAGAAAGGCCACAGCCCTATGACATTGTAACTGAGTCACCTGGCTTCCGGGTCTAAGAGCCGGCACCGTCCTTGGTGCCTGGGGAGACTCATGGAGGGGCTGCTGCTGTTAGCAGTAACATTCATTACAGACCAGCTGGCAGCTGCCGTAGTGGGCAACACACAGTAACGGGGAGGGGGTGTCAGGTGCAGCGGGTATGTGGCTAAAACGCGCTTCTCCCAGGAACGGGATGGTCACAGGAGCTGGGGAAGTGACACGGCACATTGGGGGTCAGCCTGAAGGTGGAATCAGTCTGCCACATGGAGAAGTATGGAAGGAGGAGGGAGATGAGACCGTTCTCAGTCGCAGGGCATGGGAGGGGACTTTCCAGGCCACTTGGTCTCCCACAGTCACTTGCACACACTCACACCCTTTCCTTCAGGCCACCCCAGTTGACCTGTAAGATTAATGCCATGGCCCCCTCCTCCAGGAAGTCTTCACTGAGCGTCTCCCCAGTGTCCCCTTGGCATCAGCATTTCCCTCTAGCATAGCATTTACCATACTCCAAGGTGACTGGACCATAAACTCCCAGAGGGCAGGGACCCTGTCTGTACCTCCACCTCCTGCACCTGTCCCACACTTGGCCACAATAGAGAGAAACAGGCTCTGCAGTGGCCCTGGCTGCACTGGTCCTTGGGCTTCTGCAGTGGGGCCAGCAGCTCCCTTGGTTTTGGATGGACCTGGGGTGGCACTCCATCATGTGGCTACTGTCCCATAGCAGGTCCCCTCGTTGGGAGTAAGAGATCATGGGAGAAAATCTAGATGTGTGATTGTCATGAGGTCCACGGTGGTCAGCGACCTGCATTCCCTCCGTGCACTGCACGCACGCCTCTGCTAGGAGGAGAGGGAGGTGTGAGCCAGCCCAGGGATGGGCACCCCTGGCTCCATCACCATAGTCGGCTGTGGAGGGACACACTCAGAGGCTTCCTTCCCAGGTCTCGGCAGGGGGAGAGCCTCAGGTCATGGCCCTGGAGGGGAAGAGTCTGCTGGGAGAGTTACCGGCTTTTTCTTGTTCCTTTTCTGTGGTCTTCCCACCACAGCACATTCCCCCAGGTGTGGCCAGCAGCCACCTCAGTGCCGTGGCCACGGCCTGGTTCCTCCTGTGTGCACAGCAGGCCTGTGCAGACCTCTTTCCCCGACAGAGCTGAGGCGGGCTTGTGACATGGACCTTTAGAAATACCCTCCTTGCCTCTGTTACCAACTGTCCTTCTCTCTGTGTCCGGGGATTTCCACACCAGGACCCCGCTCCTTCTGCCTCTCCCTCCCAGCCTGGCCCCAGCTGGTCCCAGGAGCACCTCGGGCCATCTCGGCCCAGGGCGGGGAGGGCGGTTGTAGCCAGCAGGATGGGTTTTCTTCTGGTGGCCTTGGGTCTCTGGGAGTCACTGGCCACTAATGGGAGGTCACCATACTTCCAATGGGCCTGTTTCGCCTGTTCCCTTTTCCGAGAGGCCTTTGGGGAGTTAAGACCGCCCAGGGGAGGAGCTGTACTCCCAAGGCTGTTACCTGCACTCAAGTCCCTCTTTGCAGGCCCAGAGCCCTCACTGCAGGGCCCACAAGCTGCTGAGGGGAGACAGGGGTTTTGTGCAGCATGGCATGGCAATAAAGTCCCTCTAACAGCAGGGAGACTGAGAGGGAGAGGTCGGCAGGCCGAGGGAGGCAGGGAAGAGAGAACTTGACTTTGAAGACTGAACACGGTGGGGAGTTGAAAGCAAGAGGTTAAAGGTCAGGCCTTCTCTTGCATAGGGGAGCGCTTTGGGCCTTGTAGGACTCTTCCCAGCCTTTGTCCAGGGCCATGAGGAGCTTTCCCAGAGCTCTTTTGGACCCAGAGGCAGGTTGGCTGCTAGTCCCCCTTCTCCTGTCTGCCCAGCCGGCTGGGGCCTGGGGCGCAGGGACCGAAGGAATCAAAGGGGCTGAGGGGTGGGCACCTGCTGGGACAGCCTCTGGCCCTCCATGGGGCCGGACGTGAACTCTCACGCTGGCTTTGGCTTTCAGTGGGCCAGGTTAATTACCCGAAAGTGGCGGACAGCTCTTCCTTTGATGAGGACAGCAGCGATGCCTTATCCCCTGAGCAGCCCGCCAGCCACGAGTCCCAGGGCTCCGTGCCATCACCCCTGGAAGCCCGAGTCAGCGAGCCACTACCCAGTGCCACCTCTGTATCCCCCACTCAGGTGAGCTGGCCGCTCCGCATGCTCCCCCTGTGCCCAGGGGCCCCAGACCTGCTGGAGCTGCGCATCGTGAGGTCCCTGCTCAGGGCAGGCGGGACGGGGACATGGACAGCGGCTGCCCTGGTGGCTTGGGAGCTGGCTGCTTGAGTCCTGGTGGTGGGGAGAGAAGGGAGATGGCAGCGGACCCCCCATTTCAGCCAGCCTCAGCCAGTCTGGTCCCAGGTGGAGGACACTGGGCTGCCTGTGTTAGAGGCGGAGCCTCCCTGACCCGCCCCATGTCCACTTGCTCAGGACAGCCCGCTTTTCCGGTGTTCAGTTCCTTTCCTAGTTCCCTCCTCCCCCTGCCACCCTGGGAGTGCTCTTCTCATTGCCCTGGTCTTTGCCCCTCGTTGGCCTCTGACAGGGATGGTGTCCGAGGAAGTGATTGCCCCCCACCTCCGGGCAGGGCAGGGCTGGGATGCACTGCCACCTGGAGATGGCCACGCCCTCTGGAGCAGCCAGAAAAGGAGGGTGTGCTCACTTCCCCGTCTCTCCCAGGTTGTGTCTCAACTCCCAGTGGGCCCAGATTCCGGAGAAACGCTTTTCCTGGCAGAGCAGCCACTTCTTCCGCCGAGCCTCCCCAACGGAACTGCGGTCCCCACTGCCAAGCCCACCCCCACACTCATCAAGGTACCCTTCTCCAGCTGACCGCCCTCCCTTCCCCGCGCCCCTCCGAGCCCTGCCATGACTTCACCCCAGTGTGGGGACAGCTGCAGGGGACGGGGATATATATCTCCTCCCCCCTGGTCAGGGCCCAGCAAAAGTCTCTGGGGTGATGGAGTGCCTTCTCTTCTCTCCGAGGACTCTGGCTGTCAGTCATAGCCACCGTTTACTGAGCACAGTGTGCTGGGCTCTGGAACGGGCTTCCAGGCCCGATTACGGCTCTCCCCGTGGAAACATGCCCACCCATCTTTCTGGGTCACTGACAACCTTGTGAGGCAGTGAAGAACCCTGTTCTACAAATGACAAAACTGAGAAGTGAAGTGATGGGTGTTTGTGTTTATTCTCCAAGGCCCGACCTGAAATACCTGAAGGGGCAGTGGGTATACCGTCCACCCCACGAGGCACCTGTTGGGGACCTCGTGTGGGGGACAGTGTGCTGGGCACCAGGAGCTGCTGCCCGGCCCTGCCTGTCCTGCAGGGCCTCCTGCCTCCGGGGTCTCTGGGACCCTAGCCTGCGCTTGTCCTTCCCGCGCCCACTGGCTTCCCTGTCTGGTCTTGGTCTCCAGCCCCGCCGCACAGACACACCTGTCCCCAGCCAGCAGTCTCACCATCCGTGGGCCCTCCGGCTGTGGCTCATAGCCTGGGGGCTGGCCAGCCTCCTGTTCGCTCACCTTAGCTCAGCCCTTGCTGTGCTTCTGGTGTTGCCTGTTCACGGAGCCCCCTGATGGCCTCCTGTGTGGGCCCTGCCCCCAGGCCTGCCCCTCTTGCGCCTTTGAGGCCCTGATGCTCACAGGAAGCTTCGTGGCTTCCCCCAGTCCCGGAGGAAGCCCAGCGCCCTCTGCCTGGTCAACTGTGCTCTGCAGGCTCCAGGCTGCTGCCTCATCAGTGGGCGCCTCTCTCGCCCCTGTGGGCTATTCCTGACTGGCCACAGATGTCAAAGGTTTTCTCCCAAAATTCCTCCCTCAGACTTGTTCCTTGTCATATGAGAGAATAGCGTACGTGTATTTGTCTGCACTTCCTCTTCTCTGGGTAGCGTCTCAGCCTCTGTGGGCTGGCTCCGCAGCCCCGCGTCGGCCTCTGACCCCTCTGGGTCATGCGTCTCTCCTGATTTCCCTCCCCTTCCTTTTCGGCTGCTCTTCCCCTGGCTCCTCCTCCTTGCTCCCCCACAGTGGGGTGCTCCCCAGGCCCAGCCCTTGGCCTCCTGTCCCGCCTCCATCCCTTGCAGCTCTACTGCTCTGTCCCTTGGAGCTCTGCCACCCGCAGCCTTGCTCTGGGTCCTCTCTGTGGGCCGATTTCTGTGCACTCGGGTCTCCGCAGTTCCCTGCCGCCCCCCTCTTTCCATACTCCTAGCCAAACCAGACCTCTTCCTGCCTTCCATGAAGGGACACCATTGTCACAGTCACCAAAGCTCAGAACCATAAACCTGAACTGCTCACCCGCCACGTGCTCCTCGTCCCTTCTTCCTCTAGTCGGTCACCTCCACCCAAACCTGTGCACCAGTCTCCACGGCCACTTGGTGGAAGCCTCACTAATCCCACATCTAGTCTCCCCCGTCTCAGACGCGTAGGCTCCCCACAGTCCTGCCTGGCACTGCCCTGCTGACTCTGGCCCGTGTCCAGCTCCACCCTTCCTGACCCACAGATGGGCCTCCCACGTGGGACCCGCTGGCCCTTCTCGGTCTGCCTGCTCCTCGCTGAGGCCCAGTGGGAGGAATCCCTGTGTGCCAGCTGAGGGTCTTTGGAGCCCACTTGGTGAAGGACCAAGGGCTTTTGGAGTCCTGGGTTTGGCTCCTAGCTTCTCACACGGTGACATCAAGCCACGGTGCAACCTTGGGCAAAGTGACTGACTGCTCTGAGCCTGTTTCTTCATTTTCGGGTAGACTCGCTAGTTCCTGCCCATGCAGGGTTTCTGCAGGTCTGTGTGACATGGTCTTTGTAAAGTACCTGGTGTGGATGGCACAGCCTCCAAAACCAGCTTTTTGCCTTCTTGTCCTGTGCACCTTTGCTCAGGGTGACAGTGGCATCTGCATTTGGCTGATTTTCCCTCCAGCCTAGAAGCTGCCCCCCTGTCAGCCTTGCCCCCTCCTTTGGACGCTTCTGGGCACTGATGAGGCCTCTACTTTTGGAAGAGGTGCAGTCCAGTAGGGGAGAGTAGAGCTGGGCAGGGCGGGTGACGGTGCCTCCTTGGAAGTCACTCCCGTTGTGGTGGGAGGGCCACCAGCCTCCCGCGTGGGGGCCTCACTATGAGAAGCCCCAGACTGCCCCCTGACGTGCCCTCCGTCTCCCGTGCCCTCAGCAAAGCCAACCCAAGTCTGCCAGTGAGAAGTCGCAGCGCAGCAAGAAAGCCAAGGAGCTGAAGCCAAAGGTGAAGAAGCTCAAGTACCACCAGTACATCCCCCCGGACCAAAAGCAGGACAAGGGGGCGCCTCCCATGGACTCCTCCTACGCCAAGATCCTGCAGCAGCAGCAGCTCTTCCTGCAGCTGCAGATCCTGAACCAGCAGCAGCAGCAGCACTACAACTACCAGACCATCCTGCCCGCCCCGCCCAAGTAGGAGCCCGCCCCTCCTCGCCCCATCCTTCCCCACCCCTCCCAAGTAGGAGCCGGCCCCGCCCCACCTGTCCCACTGTAGGCACCCCAACATGGACACAGGCCAGGTCTGGGGTGCCTGAGCCCCAGTCTTCAAGGATCCTTTGGTCTGGATCCTGCAAGAGTGGTTCCCAGGCGGGGCCTGTACACTGGGCCCTCTTCCCACGCCCATCTCTCCTCAGCCCTGCAGAGGCCTAGGGGAGGCTCCACTGGTGCTCATTTCTGCCCTTTCTTCTCAGGCCAGCAGGTGAGGCTCTGGGAAGCAGCGGGCCACCCCCCATGCGCAGCCTCTCCACCACCAGCTCTAGCTCCAGCCCGGGCGCCTCTGGTCCCAGTGCCAGCGCACGTCAGAACAGCACTTCGCTGCCCGGCAAGCCGGGAGCCCTGCCTGCCAACCTAGACGACATGAAGGTAGGTGGTATTCCTAAGGTGCTGTTTTTAGGTCAGGCAGCCTGCCCAGGACCCACGGTCATGAAAGGCAGAGCAGAGCTCCAGTCTGGTCTCCTCCAGCTCTGAGGCCTGTCTGGCCCTGGTCATCTGTAACATCAGCCTCATCCTCATGGTCATTACCGTTAACACCGTCAGCCAGCATCTGTCCAGGGGCTTGGGGCTTGTGAAGCCCTTGTCTACCTCTTATCTTCTTGGCCTCGCGGTGCGATTTGAGAAACTGGGTGCTCCGCCCACTGAAGGGTGAGCTAGTGCAGGTGTCTTGGGAGATCTGCCCGTGGAGGAGCTGGGCTTCAGACTGGGGGTTATCCACTCTAACACCCCCACCTTTTCCACTCTGCCAGTCTGCTGGGCAGATGCTGAGCCTGCCTGGGAAGGGAGTGGCCCGTTCTCAGGGCAGACTGCTCGAGTCCTGGGGCCTGAGTGGGGGGTGGCATACCTGGGGTCTGGCCTGTTTTCTGTGCCCTTATTAGAAGATGCAGTGGACCAAATTCTCCCTGGAGTTTGTCCTCTGAACCAGGATGGCCCCTCCTGAGTCATGGCCTGATGCCAGCAAAACACAGCTCTCACTGGGGCATTTGGGCACAGGCTTCAGGGTCCATCAGATCTGGATATAACTCCTGACTGTGGCTCACTAGCCATGTGATCTTTTTTTTATTGGGGAATTGGGGGGATGGAAACAGTGCTGGGGAATTGGAGGGAGGGGAACAGACAAGTTGCTGTCGTTTTGTTCTTCAGTCTAGTTGTGGAGGACGTTGCTTCACTGGCACAAGTTGGTACCATCGTTGCGCTCTTCCCGGGTGAGGCACATCAGTCGCCGGCTTCTGGACGGCCGCTCACTGCAGCTGCGGGCCGCTCACGCTGGCTGCTGGCTACATACGGTAGCCCATGGCAATCCACTGCCACAGGGGCTGCAGCCTACGCCGTCACCAGCGACCCACGGCAGCCCAGCTCCAGGTCAAGCCGTTGTTCAGCATCTCAGCTGTGGAGGACAGTGTCACTGGGCCTCATATGTGGGATCCGAACCGGGGCCCTCTGGCGTCCCAAGCCAGTGCTTATTAACCATTGCACCACTCGGCCGGCCCTAGCCATGTGATCTTAAAGAAGTTATTAGGTTGGTGCAAAAGTAAGTGCGGTTTTGGGCCAGCCAAGTGGCTCAGTTGGTTAAGAGTTAGCTTACGAGTGCAAGCTCTGAGCAACAGGGCCACCGGTTCGATTCCCACATGGGCCAGTGACACTGCGCCCAAGCTGAGCTGCCAACAGGTGGCAGGATGGCTCAGTTGGTGAGAGCACGTACTCCTCCTAACAAGACTGCCTGTTTGATGGTGGGCTACACCCGCCCACAACTAAGACTGAACTCGGCAACTTGAGCTGAGCTGCCACCTGGATGGCTCAGTGGATAGAGCGCATGCTCTTAACAAGGCTGCCAGTTCGACTCCCACGTGGGATGGTGGCTACGCCCACTCGCAGCTAAGATTGAACACAGCACCTTGAGCTTAGAGGCCATGAGCTGCCGATAGGCAGCCAGATGGTGACTGGCGCCCTCCACAACTAAGATTGAAGAACAACTTGGCTGGTCCTCCTCCCCAATTCCCCAACACTGTTCCCCTCCCACTTCCCAATTAAAAAAAAAGAGAAAAAGTAAGTGCGGTTTCAGACCGTGAATTTTAAATCATTAACACTAAGTTCTTTTTAACACATTTTTTTTTTTGGAGTGTGTTTTTCCAGGACCCATCAGCTCCAACTCAAGTAGTTGTTTCAATCTAGTTGTGGAGGGCGCAACTCCGTGGCTCATGTGGGGATCGAACCGGCAACCTTGGTGTTATGAGCACTGCGCTCTAACCAACTGGCCGCCCCCCAACACATCTTTATTAATCAAAATAGGAACCATTACAGTCAACACATTTTTGCCAACAAGAAATAAGTTTGTTTATTCCTGTAGCGTAAAAATCCATGCCTCAGGATTCAGCAAACTCTTGGAAAGCATTTTTTGCATCCTGCTGGTTGTGGAAGCGTTTTTCCTGCAGAAAGTTGTCGAGATGCCTGAAAAAGGGGTAGTCAGTTGGTGAGAGGTCAGGTGAATATGGCGGATGAGGCAAAACTTCGTAGCCCAATTCATTCAACTTTTGAAGTGTTGGTTTGACGTGCGGTTGGGCGCTGTTGTGGAGAAGAATTGGGCCCTTTCTGTTGACCAATGCTGGCTGCAGGCGCTGCAGTTTTCAGTGCATCTCATCGATTTGCTGAGCATACTTCTCAGATGTAATGGTTTCGCCGGGATTTAGAAAGCTGTAGTGGATCTGACCGGCAGCAGACCATCAGTGACCAAGACCTTTTTCTGGTGCAATTTTGGCTTTGGGAAGTGCTTTGGAGCTTCTTCTAGGTCCAACCACTGACCTGGTCATGGCTGGTTGTATACAATCCACTTTTTGTCGCACATCACAATCTGATTGAGAAATGGTTTGTTGTTGTTGCATAGAATAAGAGAAAACGACACTTCAAAACAATGATTTTTTTGATTTGCAGTCAGCTCATAAGGCACCCACTTATCAAGCTATTTCACCTTTCCAATTTGCTTCAAATGCCAAACGACCATAGAATGATTGACATTAAGTTCTTCAGCAACTTCTCGTATGGTTGTAAGAGGATCAGCTTTGATGATTGCTCTCAATTGGTCGTTGTCAACTTCCGATGGCTGGCCACTATGCTCCTCATCTTCGAGGCTCTCATCTCCTTTGCAAAACTTCTCGAATCACCACAGCACTGTACATTCGTTAGCAGTTCCTGGGCCAAATGCGTTGTTGATGTGAGTTGTCTCCGCTACTTTACGACCTATTTTGAACTCGAATAAGAAAATCGGGCTGGCTGAGTGGCGCGTTGGTTAAGAGTTGGCTTGGAATGCTAGCTCTGAGCAGCAGGGTCCCGGTTCGGATCCCACATGAGGGCCAGTGACGCGCCCTATACAGCTAAGATGGTGAACAACAGCTTGACCTGGAGCTGGGCTGCTGTGAGTCGCCGGCAACGGCATAGGGTGTAGCACCTGCTGCAGTGGGCTGCCATAAGCTACCGTGTGTGGCTGGCAGCCAGCATGAGCTGCCGTGAGCCGCCGTCCAATGGCCGGCAACCGATCTGCCACACTTGGGAAGAGTGCAATGGTAATACCAACATGGGCCAGTGAAGCGGTGTCCTCCACAACTAGACTGAGGAACAAAAGGACAGCAACTTGTCTGTTCCCCTTCCCTGATTCCCCAATGCTGTTCCCCTCCCCCAATTTCCCAATAAAATCTTTAAAAAAAAAGAAAGAAAATCCCTCAAATTTGCTTTTTGTCTAACATCATTTCCATAGACTAAAATACATATAAAATAAACAGCAAGTAATAAGCTATTAGCAAAAAAACAAAGAAATGTGCATTAAAATGATGTATAACATAGCCACATTTTATTTAAGAATGTATTCCAATATCAAAGGCAAATTTCAACAATGCAAAAACCACAATTATATTTGCACCAACCTAATATTTTGCTTTAGTGAGCTGTTTTCTTGTCTGTAAAAATCCAGTCCGTTCAATTAAGTGTTTATTGAGCACTAGGTACCATGCTAGAGCCCGAGACAGTTGGGGGCATTTCGTGCCCAGACATGGGCGAGGGGGAAGAGAGCATTTTAACCAGGCCCCTGGTGGTGAGGATGGGGAAAGGGGACAGGGAAAGGGACGAGGCTGGGCCTGAGGCGTGTGTAACTCGCCCTCCAGGGCCATGGGAGGGTCTGTGGTTGCTGCGTATGAAGTGGCCAGTGGGGCCCCAACAGATGAGGCCTAACAGACAGAAAGCTTTCCCTCCACCCTCCCCTGACTGTCCTCCTGCCTGGACCCAGTTCCCTTTGTTCCCTGCTGCCCTGACTCTCTACCTCCTTGCAGGTGGCAGAGCTGAAGCAGGAGTTGAAGTTGCGGTCACTGCCTGTCTCAGGCACCAAGACAGACCTGATTGAGCGCCTGCGTGCCTACCAAGAGCAAGTCAGCCCTGCTCCCGGAGCCTCCAAGGCCCCCGCTGCCACCTCCATCCTGCCCAAGGCTGGCGAGGTCGTGGTCGCCTTCCCAGCAGCCCGGCTCAGCACAGGGCCTGCCCTGGTGGCAGCAGGCCTGGCCCCAGCTGAGGTGGTGGTGGCTACGGTGACCAGCAACGGAGTGGTGAAATTCGGCAGCACGGGTTCCACGCCCCCCGTCTCCCCCACCCCCTCAGAGCGTTCCCTGCTCAGCACCGGGGATGAGAACTCCACGCCTGGGGACACCTTTGGCGAGATGGTGACATCGCCGCTGACCCAGCTCACCCTGCAGGCCTCGCCACTGCAGATCCTTGTGAAGGAGGAGGGCTCCCGGGCCGGGTCCTGCTGCCTGAGCCCTGGGGTGCGGGTGGAGCTGGAGGGGCGCGACAAGGACCAGATGCTGCAGGAAAAGGATAAGCAGATCGAGGAGCTGACCCGCATGCTCCGGCAGAAGCAGCAGCTGGTGGAGTGGCTGCGGCTGCAGCTGGAGCAGGAGAAGCGGGCCCAGCAGCCCGCCCCCGCGCCCGCCGCCCTTGGCATCCCAGTGAAGCAGGAGAGCAGCTTCTCCAGCTGCCAGTTGAGCCCACAGCCCCTGGGCCCCGCTCACCCCTTCAGCCCCGGCATGGCAGCCCCCACCGCCCACCACATAGACATTTGTGCCCCGGTGCCTCCGGCCGTGGTGGTGAAGCAGGAAGCTGTGCTGCCCCAGCCAGAGCCCGCACCCACGCCCCAGCTGCTTCTGGGCCCACCGGGCCCCAGCCTCATCAAGGGGGTCACACCTCCCACCCTCATCACCGACTCCACAGGGACCCACCTTGTCCTCACCGTGACCAATAAGAAGGCAGACAGCCCTGGCCTGGCCAGCGGGAGCCCCCAGCAGGTACCCGTGTGAGGTGGGGTGGGGCCAGAGGAGGCTGTGAAGAGTCTTCTAATGACCGCCCTGTTCACCAGGCGCCCCATGCTGGGCACGTTAGGCTTGCTTCCTTTAATCTCCCCTTCAGCCTTCCATAATGAGGAATTGTGCTAAGACCTGGGAAGGTTAAGGGACCCCACGACCCCACAGCCCTGCGGGTGGCATCAGTGACTGCCCACCTTTCTGGCCATTGATGCCAGAACATTCCTTACCCTGGCAGAGGGCTCCTGGGCAGCCCCCACCCAGGCTGGGCCCACTCCTACCTCTGCTCCGTGGGCGTGGGACGGGGCCCTGGCGGAGGATCCGGGAAGCCCCCTGCTTGGGAGAGGCTGTGGACTCAGCTGTCTGGCCTGGGATCTGACTGGGGTCCGGTGGGCTGAGCCTGGTGCAGAGGGGCCAGCTGTCCTATACCAGGTGTCGCTGGCAGCTGGCTCCCTGCTGCTGCCACTCACACAGCCCAGACCCTCCACCCAGCCTGGTCCAAAGGTGAAGCTGTTTTACTTTGTGTGGCCTCTCAGCACTGCAGAACTCCAGATGGAGGGGACAGTGACAGCAGCCAGGCGCCTCAGGTTGGGAGTCAAGGGCCCTGAGCAGCCTCAGGAAGAAAGGCACGAGAGCGGGACTCAGCCCAGAGCTCCCCCTCTCCCATGTGGCTTGTAGCAAATCCCAGGCAGCCGGCCTGCCTCAGCCTCTGCAGGGTTGGAGGTCAGGGCCCCCCTCCCATACCCCTTCTTCCCCAGTGGCTTCCATGAAAGTGCCGAAAGCCAGTGCACCAGCCGTGCTGTCCTGGCCTAGAAGGAGGGCACCCCCGCCTGTGCTCCTCGAGTGTGCGGGGCCCGGGGCCCGCTTCCTCACCCAGCCACTGCTTCTCTCCGCCCTCCTGTCCAGCCCTTGTCCCAGCCCGAGTCTCCAGCCCCTGGCCCACCAGCCCAGATGGACCTGGAGCACCCGCCACAGCCCCTCTTTGGGACCCCCACTTCTCTGCTGAAGAAGGAGCCACCTGGCTATGAAGAAGCTTTGAACCAGCAGCCCAGACAGCAGATGAAGAAGGTAGACTGAGGCCTGGCCAGGGTGGGGGCTATAGTCCCCCAAGTCCAGCTAGAAGATGGGGCAGGCAGGAGCCAGTCTTGGGGGGTCCAGAAGCCTTGGGGTGTGGGCAGTTCCATGCAGGCTCCAGGGCCTGGCCCAACCAAGAGTCTGGGCATCGGCCAGGGATCCTGTGGGTCTGCTGCCAGCTCGGGGCCGATGGAAAGGCCTGTGTCCTGACCTGGCTGGGGGCCTCCTGTTGTAGATTTTCATCTTTTTTCCCCCCTATTTTTGCTCCACAGGAAACTGGTTCCTCGAGCCAACACATGGATGACCTGTTTGACATTCTTATTCAGAGTGGAGGTAAATCCCAGACCCCTGAGCTGCCTCCCCAGCCCCCTTCATTCTCAATGGGTTGTTTCCAGCCCCTGGTGGGGGGGTCTGTTCCATTTGGTTTGGTTATTGAACACTTAATGGGCGACATCCTTGTACTCAGACACAGCAACAGTTGAGATGCACACAACCTCCAGGGCCTGGGCAGGAATGGGGTTGGGGGCAGGGTGGGTTCTGTGGCCTCAACACACGTTCGCTTTGCTCAGCACCCACTGCCTAGACGGCAGGCACTGTCCCCGCAGCCCAGGACATAGCAGTCAGCCCAATAGTGAATGCCTCTGCTGGGAGATGAATGACTAAATAAGTAGATTTTATCATGTTAGAGAGTAGTACGCTTCGTAGCTACTAGTCGGGAAGGGAAGGGTCTCGGGTGCCCAGGGGATGGTCAGGGTCAGCCTGGAGGAGCAGGTGCAGGCGTCAGAAGTCTGGGCAGGTCAGCAGTGCCGTGCAGGCTGGAGGGGCTTTGACCGCATGACACCAGAGCCCCGCCACACAGCTTTGAGGAAGGGCAGGACCAGGGAGATCACGGTAGTGACCCAGGTCAGAGGCCAGGGGCCCGGGGCCGGGCAGGGGAGGTGGCCGCCAGGTGCGGAAGTCGGGAGTCGGTGGATTTGGAGTGCCAGCTTGATTTCCCTCTGCGTTAGGTGTGTGGTGAGGGCAGGAGGGCAGCCGAGGATGACGCCGAGGGTCTCAGCCTGAGTTACCAGGATGCAGCTGCGGGCTGTGGAGGGAGCTCCCAGGGGCAGTGGGAGACGCATCAGTGCAGTGTCAGTTGGGCTTAGATATGTCCTGAGACAGGAGGAATCACACAGACGGCCCAGGTGAGGGCGGGGCGAGGGCAGGAAGTGGGTGTTGGCGTCTAGTGGGCTTTCAGAGCCATGAGGCTGGGTGAACATAGGACACGACAAGGTAGAGTGGAGGGCACCCTCAAGGGGCAAGTCCTGAAGCAGTGGGCTGCTGGCGAAGTCAGGGACGATGGGGACCTTGGTCAGGGTGCCCCGTGGGGCCGAGGGCAAGTGCCTGCTGAAGTGGGTTGCCGAGGGCCCGGGCCTGCGGGAGACAGGTCTGCAGAGCTCTCTGCAGAGGGCTTCCTGCAAGGGGAGCAAAGAAACGGCAGCATGTTTGCATGCCAGTGGGACAACCAGGTAGAGTGAAGGGCGGGCACAGGGCAGCAGGAGGGCTCCGCTTCAGGTGGCCGCAGCCAGAAGGTAGGGTGGGAGCTCTCTCTCAACAGCTTTGACTGTGTCAGTAGGCGGGGGTAAGCCAGGCGTGCAGCCCAAGTGAGAGCTCAGCCAGAGAATGGCACGCTTTAAAATGGTGAGTTTTATCTCCATTTAAAAAAAAAAAAGCTCAGTAGCGGACATGACTCTCAAGGTCACTGTTCTGATCTTAGGGAGACTCCCCCCCGGGGGCCGGGTCTGCATTGGACCTGAGGTGCATTTCTGACAAGGGCGGCGGGGGCAGGGCAGGGGTCGCTGAGGTTGCTGGGCTGGGTGGTGCTCCCGCGCAGATGGAGAGGCCTGGCAGCGCGCTCCCGGAGTTCTGTGTCCAGACAGGAAGTGAAAGTGGGAGTGGTCAGGCTGCCCGGGAACAGAGGTTGTGCAAGAGCAGAGAGAGAGCCAGCCTTGAGCTCTGGCATCGAGCAGATGGCAGAGAAATGGAGCTGGGGGTGCTGCTTGCACCCAAAGGGACAGAGAGGAGTGGCCAGAGGAGGGCACAAGGATGCCAGGAGAGGGCATTTGGGTCGGGTGGGTGGGGCCAGCAGGTTCCTCACTGGTGGCAGCTGGGCAGGTTGATAGGCCAACTCGAGGTCCTTGGTCATTTGGTGAAAAAGGCGTGTCCAGCTGGCGAGGGAGGATAGGACCTAGAGGGCCAGGGAGCAAGCCTGGTTTCTGCAGTTTTAAATTGTGGTAAAAGATACATAAAACCTGCCATTCTAACCACTTTCCAAAGTCCAGTCCAGTGTTGTGTAACCGTCACCAGAACGTCGACATCCTGCACTGACACTCGTTTACCCACATGCAGTCTTCCCATTCTGACCTCCGCATCCCGGTAGCCTGTTTTCTGCTTTCTCTCTCCTTGGCTTTGACTGCTACTTAACTTTCACTACTTAACTTTCTGAGGGACCACAAAACTGTTTTTCCACAGCAACTGCATCATTTTCATTCACACCAGCCATGCACAGGGGTTCCAGTTTCTCTGTCATCACCAACACTTTTCCTGTTTTTTAAAACAATAGCCATCCTAATGGGTGCGAAGTGGTGTCTCGTGGTTTTGATTGACGTTTCCCTGATGACTGATGGTGTTGAGCATCTTTTCATGGGCTTATATGAGGCCAGTTGTGTCTCTTCTGTGAGAAATGTCCAAGTCCTTTGCCCATTTTAGTTGGGTTTGTTGAGTTGTAGGAGTTCGTTATTCTGGGTATGAATCACTCATCAGGATATAAGATTTGCAGATACTTTCTCTGATTCCTTTTCATTTTCTTGATAGTATTTATGCACACGAGTTTTAATTTTTTATGTATCTAATTTATCTTTTTTTCTTTTGTTGCCTGTGCTTTTGGTGTCATAACCAAGAAATCATTACCAAATCCAATGTCATGAAGATTTCCCCCATTTTCGTCTAAGAGTTTTGTAGTTTTAGCTCCTACATTTAGATAGTTGACCCATTTTGAGTTAAATTTTGTACATGGAGTAAGGTAGGGTCCAACTTCAGGTCTTATTCAGGCCTGGCTTTTGACAGCCACTCACTTTGTTGATTGGCAGAAATTTCAGCAGATTTCAAGAAGCCATCATCCCTGCGAGGGAAAGAGAAGCCCCCCTCGACAGCAGCCTGCGGGTCGCCTCTGGCCTCACAGTCCCCACCCTCTGCTGAGCTCCCCCACGCTGCCCCGCCTCCATCGGGCTCACCCGCCCTCCCTGGGCGCCTGGAGGACTTCCTGGAGAGCAGCACGGGCCTCCCCCTGCTGACCGGCGGACACGAGGGGCCAGACCCCCTCTCCCTCATTGACGACCTCCACAGCCAGATGCTGAGCAGCTCGGTCATCCTGGACCACCCCCCCTCACCCATGGACACCTCGGAATTGCACTTTGCCCCTGAGCCCAGCAGCGTGGGCCTGGACCTGGCTGACGGCCACCTGGACAGCATGGACTGGCTGGAGCTGTCGTCAGGCGGCCCCGTGCTCAGCCTGGCCCCGCTCAGCCTCTTCTCCACGGACTTCCTCGATGGCCATGACTTACAACTACACTGGGATTCCTCCTTGTAGCTCTCAGGTTTGCCGGGGACAGAGGGGCTGGATGTTGGGGAGCCTCGAGAACTCTAGAGAGCTCGGCTCTCCTGCCTGATCCAGCCTCTGCGTGGTCGCGAGTCCTGACAATCACAGGCCCTGCTGTCCCCTTCCCGGCTCACTAAGGAGAGATGCTGCCAAGCAGCAGCTCTGGGTCCCACCCCGGGGTCTGGGAGAGCTGGACAGGCCGGGGCGTCCTAGTTGACCTCCTTTTGTGAGGTTGGAGGTACCCTGTCGGGCTGCCGTTTTCTCAGGCAGGCAAAGCGTGAATCCCGCTCCTTCTCTTCCCCGGGGAGGAAGAGCGAGCCGGGCCTCGACCTCCCCAGCCCCGTGATGCCGACGCCAGGCTCCCGGGCAGGAGGGAGGGGCTCCCTGCCATTTTAGTATCTTGGTGTAGTGTGACCATTTAGTGGTTGGTGGCAAACGTTTTCTGTACAGGTGTATATACCTCTATATTATATATCGCCATACATATATATATATATACACATATATTTTTGGGAGGTGGGAGGCGGATGCAGCCCCCTCCCTTCCTGTGCACATACATAAGGGCCTGGAGACCACTGCTCCCGGGGCCCCGCCCATCACGTGTGTTTGACATGTAAACACCCCGTCACAGCCTGTACCCCACCTGTCCTCATCAGTGCCACGAGGGCAGAGGTGCGTCCTGCACCCGCCCACATTCCGTCCCGCTGCCTCACTGCAGCCACCACGGCCCTGGGACAGGAGGGGGCCCGGCCTCCCATCGGGCCTGTCACTGTCACTCATAAGAGGATGGAGTCACCAAAAGCAGTGCTGGAGCAGAGGTGGGGCAGTTGTGTGAACTTTTTAAAATAAAAACAAAAACACCAGCCTGTTGGCCCATATTTATCAATCTGGGGGGGGTGGTAGGGCTGGGCATTGTGGCATCTGGGGGCCACACCATAACCCACCTTCCCGGTCTGGCCATCTGTTCCACACCATTCCAGAAAGGGGAGAACCTTGGACCAAAGGCAGGAAGTACTTTCTCAAAGAATTTATTTACAAGCCAGAGAGGCCGAGGAGCCTTCAGCCACCCCCAGCCCCTTCCTGAGCGAAAGCTGCCAGGACCCAGGGCGCTCCACATCCTCACGAGGTTTCTGGTCAGTACAGATAGTGAGACGGGGCCCCTGTAAAGAGCCTGGGAGGAGCAGACTGAGTGAGGCCCCCACTTTCTGCTCCTGCTACCCACTGCCCTCTGATGCTCCAAGTGGTGTCCCCAATCGCCCTACCATGGTCCCAGGCCACCCGAGCCCCCTCCCAAAGCGGGCTGGTGCTGTTCTCGCTTCAGGAAGGAGCTGCTCTGGTAGCCGATGGGTTGGAGAATGCTGGGCGTGCCAGGGCCACTGGAGGAAGAGTGTCACCCATCTATGTCCCAGCTGAAAAGGTGGTGCTTCACCAGCATGTCCTGGACACCCTCCTTCAGGGGCTTCTTCTCCTCCTGCACACAGGGACAGCCCCTCACTGTCGCAGGCTGCACAGCAGGGGATGCTGGGGCCAGAGTGGTTCGTACAGGCGAGCCCAGCACTCGGGGTTCCCACGGAGCCCTGCCTCAGCCACCAGGAAGTGTATGGATAGAAGTGCCAGCAGAGACCCGGGCCTGCCACACCCCATGCAGCCCCTTAGGAGGAAGGCAGGTTGCAGGGCCGAGGACCAACCCCAAACACCTACCTCTCTCTTGGCAGGAAGCTCCCAGTCCTGGGAGAGGCTGAAGGCAAAGCAGCAGAGGACACTGGAGCGGGGGGAGGGGAGGCTGTCAGTCGCCCTCAGGTTGGCTCTGCCCACCCCTGCCCAGGGCCACCCAGGCAGGGTCCTCACCGGAGCTCACACTTGATCTGAACCCAGCCGGGGCTGCGCAGGAAGGACCAGGGCTGGTACCACTTCTCCACGGTCGGCAGGCTGGAGCAGAGCACCTCCAGCCACAGGTGCAGGACCTGCTCGCTGGGGATGGGAGGAGGGAGCCATCCCTCTGAGGACCACGGGCCACCCAGTCCCTTGCCCGCCACTGCCAGGCCTCCTCAGGTGACCTCAGCCCCTCCCTCTGGCTGCTCCACACCGGGAGACACGCTCAGGAGCCCGCTGTCCCCGTGGCTCCCGCTCCCCTCAGTCCTGCCACAGCTCTTTTCTTTCTGCATCTAGAGCTTCTGCCTCCTCCCAGGCACAGGGCCCTCAGCCCTGCTGCTCAGTCCGAGTCAAGCACATCCTCACCGGCCTGCCGGGCCCGTGCTCTGAGCTAGTCTCACGGACACTTGTCCCTTTGCACACCACTCCTCCTCCCACCCCTGGGCCACCCCTCCCAGAAACATCTCATTCACCCAGGCCCCGAGCCTCACAAATGCCCGAGCCCCCTCCCTGCTTTGCTGTGGTGACCTCATTTCTAGGGAGCCCTTCACTGGTCATCTTACTAAAATCTGTGCTTCATAAAACCCCCCAAGCAGCTCCTCCAGCCGCAAAGCACCGACTGGACGAGGCCTTTGGGAGTTACCCTCGCTGTCTTCCATTTGTCTGTCCAACTCCTGGGGGGCCCAGCTCACATGCCCCCACTCCCCCACAGGGCCCAGCCCAGGCTACTGCTCATCAGACTGGACTATCACACCCACAGGCCGCCACTCACTTGAGCCCCACGCAGATGAGGGAGCGGAGCTTGACATCCATTTGTGCATGCGCAGCATCATGGGTCACGTTCACAGACTGCACAGCCTGGGAGGGCACAGCTGTCACTCAGGTGCCCCCAGCTGCCAGCCCAGGAGGTGGCCCCACCCATGGCCCCACCTACCCGGTAGAGCAGCTCCTCTGGGGTCAGAACTTTGCCATCTTCATCCAACCTGGGATGGGGGGGGGGGTGAAGCTGCCAGTGCTGCGTGGGGTGCAGGCTTGGGCTGCTCCCTCGCCCCCGAGGCTGCCAGGATGCCCAGCCAGGGCAGGGGACAGGGCCCAGTTACCTGTATGTCTTACACAGCACCAGGCGCGAATACACCGAGTCGAAGTCTCTCTCCACCTCCCGGCCCGCTGCCTAGGGGACAGGGGAGAGTGACAGGGCCAGCGGGGTAGTTCCAAGGTCAAAGCCACAGGGTTCAACGAAGCACATCACCACCTTATGAGAGCCCAGGGACAGTGGGGGACATGGATCCAGCCACTGACTTACCTCCTCGATAAACAGCCAGGGGTGGCAGGCGCCCCCAAGTAGGGATGGCTTCTTCAGTCCATGTTCAAACAGGGCCTTGAGAGCTGGGCAGAGGGTTCCTCGCACGAGGTCCGTGACTCCTTCCGTCACAGCATCATCCCCAGCAATGGAGTACTGATGGTGGGGAAGGAGTCTGAGAGGCCCCAGCCCACGCCTGCAGCCGGCCACCCTGCCCCTGTCCTCAGAGCCACAAGCCAGAAGGCGCTCAGGACACAGTCCTGAGGGCGCAGGCCTCACCGGGGAGGCGGCGGCAGCAACTCCCAGGCGCAGGCCTGTCTGCGCCCCCTCTTACCTCTTTGCTCCGTTCATCCAGGACTTCCACAAACTTAGCTGGGAACCAGCCTGTGGGAAAGGCAGAGTCCTGTGAGGAGCCTGGTGTCCCCACTTTCCCCCCATGGGGCTGAGGACAGGCTCAGCCCGGTTCCTGGCAGGAGGAGGGTCCAGGAGGGGGGATGCAGCTTCACTGACCAGCCCCCTGCCCCCAGCCGGACACCAAGGCCTCACCTCTCAGGCCATTCAGCTCCCCCACCCAGCAGTGCTCGTCCTTCTGAGAGATGATCTGCAGAGGAAAGGGGCAGGGAGCAGAGTCTTGGTTGCCGGTGCCCAGTGCCTCCCACACCACTGGGTTTCGTCCTCGTCCAGGCCGATGGAAATTCTCAGCAGGGCCAGGGCTCAGGTGCGGCTGGGTGACCCGGCCACAGCCTCAGGGCCGGCGGGTGGCAGGACCAATGGCACGGGCTCCCAGCAACCGCTGCCTCCCGGCGGGTCACGCATGCCGCGGACACCCAAGCCCCACCCCACGCACCGTGATGATGTCATTCTTGCGGAAGCCCAGCTCGTCGTCATCGTGTCGCTCGAAATCCAGCAGGGCCTTGGCCCGGCGCCTGTGGCTCCGCGAGCAGGCCACGTAGTTCTCGTGATCCCGCTGGTGGCTCTCCATGCTGTAGTCAGGGGTCAGCTCCTGCCAGGGACGGGGAGGCGCCTCAGGATGGGGCTGGGGAAGGAGAGTCCCCAAGTCGAGCCTCTGGGCGCAGGACTGGGAGCCTGGGACTCACCACACTACAGTTTTTGGGGTCTGTGCACTGGAAATGGCGTGCCACTCGCAGGATGGCTTCCCGGAGGTCGGCCACCAGCTCTGTCTGCTTGATGTTCTTGGCCTTGAGTGCCTCCAGGTCGTCCATCCCTGGGAGTCAAGAGAGTTATATGGCAGCCAGGGTCCCTGCCCGGCGCCCTCCCCAACTCAGGAAGCTCCGAGTCCACCCAGGGTGTGAGGACAGACACCCCTGTTCTGCATTGGCCCCTCACCCCCCGCTCTAACAACTTAAGACTCGCCCCGCTGAGCTGGCCCCAGCGGCCTGCAGCACATTCTCACCGAAGAGCAGGGAGGTGATGCCAGACTTCCTTCGCTGGGTCCTGCGACGAACCACCTGCAGACACAAGAGCGGGTCAGTGGCAGGAGGGCACCCAGTGCCCAGCTGAGTGGTGGGCATCTCAGCACCAGGCGAAGGGAACAGAGTCCTTCCGTGGGGCGGCCCAGGGCGCCTCCTTGTGCTACCTCATGAGAAATGGCCTCTGAGGGTCATTTCAAAGCTGGCTCTGTCCTATACCCCGACTGGGCATGTCACTCCAGCTGTGGCCTGCTGGGCTGTGCCAGGTCCTGGGTGCTGAGCTGGGGAGGCAGCAGGGCAGGGCCTCTCACTGGATTCCTCAGGGGACCCCCCCACTGTAGGTAAGGCGGGGCCTCCTTCACGGACCCACCTGAGAGAGGTTGGTGGTGGCGCTGGTCCCCAGAAGCTGGCCCTGGTCCGCTATGAGGTAGGCCAGGTGCTTGCGGCGCTGGGTCTCCACGGCCACGTCAGTGAGGGAGCCAGCCAGCCGCATGGCCTCCCCCAGCAGCAGCTCCGCGTCCTCAATCTGCGAGGGTATGTCTGACAGCGTGTTGAAGATAGAGGCCGAGTTCTCGGACTGGATCAGCTCCTCCTCCTGGGCCACATGCGCGGAAGGATGGGGACTCACTGCCTGGCATCAGGCCCACGAGCTGACTCCGTCACCTTCCCCAGGCACGTGACTTCCTTGAATGATCAGCTGAGCACAAGGAGCTCCCACCCCACCCAGGGGTTCTCAGGAGGGGCCAGTTCGCAGGCCATGTGGTGCTGAAGCCTGAACCCCACTGCATCCCCCAGAGGAGGGTGCCAGGAAGCTGCCATCTGGCACACGGGGCGCCTAGTCTGGGGGGTGGGAGGGGACGGGGCTGCCGCAGCACCTTCAGGCGCAGCATGCCCAGCGTGGTCTGGAAGAGCACCCGGGAGCCGTCGTAGAAAAACAAGTCCCAGAGACGCAGCAGCAGCCTGATGGGCACCACGCTGGCGAAGGCCGTGAGGAACCAGTGCAGCGTGATCAGGGACAGCTCTGTGGACAGACCAGGGACAGCGGCATGGGACAGCCTGCGAGAAGGGGCACCCCCAGGCACACGAGCTGGGGATCAGGTGGACGGTATCTCCCCAAAAACAGCAAGAGGCCCGCCCTGCTCCAAGGGGACAAAGGGGACAAGGCCAGACAGCAGAGAATGAGAGAGAAGGAAGACTGTGTGTGCTGTGTCCCCGTCCTAGGAGCTCTGTTCTCTCCCCAGGGACGGCCAGCTGCCCCGTCT